AAAGTTCGCATTGTCCAGCATCGTGGAGCTGCTTGCAGAACTTGCATCGCTTGTTACAGTAGTGGGCAGAGTGACTCATGCCACCGCACACCGCGCATGGTCCGTACTGTGGGCGTCGGTTGTCGCGGTTGAAGTCACGTCGACCGCGTTGGTCCTGATTGAAACCACGGTCACCACCTCGGCGATCTTGATTGAAGCCATTCTCGCGATCAGGCACGTTTCCACGCAGTTGACGGTTGTCTGAACGTGCGTAGGTGCCTTCAGCAGCTGCACGGCGTTCATTTTCGTTAGCAGCGGCGAGGTATCGGTCGTTTTCATCCAATGAGAAATCACCATCCGTATTATCGGGCTGAAAGTCGTTGTACTCGTCTTGGACATCGTTGTAAGCGTTCGGATCTTCGTTTGAATACTCGGTGCCTCCCTGAGCAGCTTCACGACCTTCTAATTCAGCTAGTAGGTCATCCACCGTGGCTTTAATGAGCGTCACTCTCGGTTTGTTTCGGTTGTCATCGCGGCGACGGTCATCACGCCGGTTGTTGCGGGCGTACCCATCGTCGTGTCGCGTATCACGACTCTTGGAGTATCGGTACTCACTGTCACGCTTGGCCATTCTCTCCTTGCCCTTGAGAACATCTTCGATGATCTCTTCGAGCTCGTGAATGTCGGCGACTCGAGCATGGTAGAGACTCTCCGCTAGCTTGTCATCATCGCATGTTGCCAGGAACTGCTGTACGTGTTCTTTCGCGTCGCGACCACTCTTCTCAAAGTGTAGACGGGCGGTCCGTGCGTAGTTATTCAGCCTGTTTATGTAGTCGCACAGACGTTCATTACGTTCCCGCTTGGCGGAGTAGTAACGCGACAGTGCCGTCTGCGTGAGCTGCGAGCAGTAGTAGCGGATGAACGCGTCGCTCAGCAGCTTCCACTTGCGCTTCGTCTTCTTCGGAAGTTGACGGAACCAATGAATGGCTCCGTCTCGGAGACTCAGCTCAAATGGAATGCACCATTTGTCGGCATCTGTGTGGGTTCCAGTCATTTCATAGACGAACCCACGGAGCCACTGCATACAGTTCTCTCTCTTGTTGCGAGAGCCTGAGAACGGCGTGATGCGATCCAATGGTCGGTGCGACGCCGTTTCAATCCTCGGTGTCGGGTCATCGTCGTTCAGCGTCGCTAGCTCATTCATCTGGCGCATCAACTCGAGTTGAGGATCTTCCTCGTCGAATGTACGCACCAAAATGTCATCGTCACCGGACGAACCATCGCTGTCGACTTGACGACGTCCGGCACCACCTTTGGGAGCTCGCGGACCACCTCGGCGACCGAACGAACCCTCGTTGCCAGCGTAAAGACGCTGCATACGGCTCTCCGAACGTGGCGTAACCATGTGCGAGTCTTGAAAGTACGGTGAAGCTTCAATAGTGCCAAAGGCACCACGCTCTGCTCCACGCTTGGTCGGAGGAGTACGAACGAGTCGTTGGGGTGTCGGCGGCAGTGGAATCGTGGATGGATCTTCATCTTGAATCATCGGTCGACTCACTGGCTGCTTTCCAGCGTTAATGCCAACAGCGCCAAACGCCTTCCGAAGCTTCTTCTTTCATTTCTGGAGAGCAGCTCCGGCTTCATGTGGACTCCAATCTTGGAGCGACATCGTCGATGGGTACGTCTCGTTCTCGAAGCCCAGCGACAACAGTAGCGAAACTGAATCCTCGGCAACTTGGCTAGTCGAAACCGAGTTGACTGGGTATTGAAGTTCCTGCGCAAGCGCAGGCCAGTCGGCGTTTTTCTTGGGGATGGGCTTGAACAGCTGCATCCACTCATCATTCTGCATCAGCGCTTGTACGCGGTCGAAAACGCGCTTGGCGGCTGGTGTATCACCGTTGATACGTGGGCGAGGTGCCTTCAGCAGTGCTGAATGCTTTGCACTTGTCACCTAAGGTTTAGAACCCTCGGTCCCATCGTCATAATCTTCGTAGGCGTGTTCCGGTCCCGCAACATCATCGAGCTCGTCGGCGAGGTTCCTCGAAAGGGACCTGGTCGCCCCGCTCAGCCCCGATGATTGCGTGGCCGTCTCCGGCGTCGCTGCGCCTGGCTCTGGAGCCGTCGTCTTGTCTTCGTAATCTTCATATTCATGGGCGTCAGGACCGATGTCCGCTTCGTCGTCGAAGCTCACTGAAAGCTCGGTGGCGGCTGCAAAGCGCGCAGCCGGGCTTGAACTCTCGTTGCGAGCCCCGCCAGACTTAGCAGGCGTAACTGGTACCGTCGGTTGTCCTTTTGCCATGTTTCTTGTCTTTTTCTTGTTCTTCGTCTCTTGGTAGCTCGTAAACTGGAAGGCCATACAAACAGTTCACAATGGTCACAATCTGTTCCCGGGTCGCGGCACCAGTTGTGGTGTTGGAAATCCCACGTGAACTCTAGCTACAAATGTAGTTAGGATGTTCCCACAACAATACGTCTACTAGGATAGTAAACGATCGTTCGGGCGGACCTGAAGACCCCTGTTCTGCCTTTGCACTGGGACAAACTGGACCTTGTAAACTACTTATATAGGCCAACCCGTAAAAATACGCTTCTAGTACGAGCAAAACTAGCAGGTGTTATATGGATCCTCGTGGTCCCAACAGCGGAAGGGTACCAGGCACGGGTGAGCCTTTTACGAGATCACCGAGTGCTCAACACTCGGCTGGAAGAATAAAAGGGAGGCACTCCAAGCACTCCCAGTCGTGCAAATAGGCAACAATAAGCCGTCACGTAAAACCTCCCGATAATAATCGGCCAATACACAAAGTCTCTTGGTCTTGCCGGATGAACCCTCGCTACAGAGCTTCGAGTTCACCGACAGGCATAACACACTCAAACAAGCTTGATCTGACGCTTACCTTGAAGCCGGACGTCGCTCTGTGTGCTTGAGCGGAAATTCTGTTCTGTATTTAAGCTTACCTTTTCGGGTCTATTTCTAATAAGAAGTCCTAATCAAGTATACAAATATCAGGTGAACAATGATCCGTTATGGATCTTCTTGCATGCCAAGCGTCGTCTGCACCGTCGCATGAGCATCTTTAACGGTCCGCGCCTTGTCCCAGACGGTGAACGTGCCTTCCAAGGGTCGCTGAGTCTTCAGCGAACTCATCCCAACCGCCACTGAGGGTTCGTACCGTAGATGGTCCGCTGAATGCGAATCCGGCCAGTCCATTATTAATAATAAGGACAGCCTGGATTCAGTGACATGTGCCCGTATCCAATACTCGTTGAACGTTCGGAGGTGACGCCGTCGAGTCCCTTGCACCTTGGCGTCTCCGTACATCACCTGACCGAGGGTTCGTCGCTTGAACAACTTGGGCGGTGTCACGTCTTTGTCGACGGGTGATAATCCGCAACTACGGATAAATCACTACACCACAATGTCCTCAAATGCTTAGTGGCATTGCACACAAAGCATCGGCGGATGCCGGCGCGCTGCTCCGCAGCAACAAGCTCGGCTTCTTCGTCCTCAGCATAACTAAGGTCCATCGGCTCCGGACCGCTCGAAGAGCTTGCGCTACCAGCGCTCCAACCAGGTCGAGCCGACCTGAACTTGTGCTCGGCATTCAATGCCACATTCACCGCCTCTTCGAAAGAGTTAGGGTGTACACGGAACACTTCCGTTCGAGCTGCGCTCACACGAAGTCCCTCCATGAACACGGTCACGCTGACCAGTTCCGGAAGAGGGTCCGCCGCCATTCCGGCGATAAGAGTTCTCAACTCTTGGACATAGTCCAATAACTCCTTCTTACCCTGGCGGGTAGCAAGGTACTTCGACCGGATACGGTACGCCTGATTAGGCGGCGTGAACACGCGCGAAAGCTGTTGCTTCAGCTGATCCCAAGTGGGAAATGCAGCGTCAACAGACGTGCCGCACGTTAGTGCCCATTCGCGAGCGCGACCTCCAAGCCTGGAGATAGCCAGCGCCACGCGCTGATGCTCAGACTGGAGCAGGGCCGATCCCATGGCCATCTCGACCTCACGGGTCCAAAGAAGGAGATTCTCTCCATCCTTCCCCTCGAAGGGTTTTACGCTCACCATGAGCGGTTTCAGTCTCATAGACTCTTCACGCGTCATCGACGCCGCCGCCGTTGCGGCGCTCATCTTCTCTTGGACATACTCCAAGAGCGCGTTCTCGTAGCGGGAGAACGATTCCAGCCTGGCAGTGACCGCCTCTGGACCTTGCGATGCAAGATGAGCCACGCCCTCCGGGCCAAGCAAGGACATAAGCTTAGCAAGCGCGTCCTGCTGCGCCAGGGGCAAATTCGCGAACACGGGGTGTTCCATCCTCGCAGAGGATATAGTCAACCGACTCAGGAGCGGGATTGACCATCAAGTGCTTCTAAGTGCAGCGGGGCTGTCGTAGCTTTAGCGTCAGAGGAAGACGTTCGACTCAAAGAGTCACTAATATTAAGTTCCTTATCCAAAGGACACTTACAGCCCAAGACCAGGGCTCAAAGTTAATACCTTAACTTTTATGCTTCAAAACCAGAAGTGTTTTATTTACTATTATTGCGGCCAAGCCGCCTAGGGGTAAATGTATCTGTTTAACTATCTAGCATAGTTAAACCTAATCAAATGCATAACGTGTGGCTTTCGGCCAACGTACTGACAGACCTTGTTAACTCTCCAACTTATGTACTGAGAGTTTGTTAACTCTCCGGGTACTCCGTACCCCTGTGTGCTCCACATCATGTAGCCCCGTTACAATCACAATCATTCCCGTTGCACATACTGTTGAGTCGCCGATTCGCTGTCGGAGCTAGACCTCAACATTAAAATAAAACTTTTTTAGTTTTGCGCACAATCACAGACGTAAAACATGTTGTATAGAAAACATGTTGTACATACCATTCCACGCTGCCGACATTTTCGCTTTGACACGCAGTATGGGGACTGGTCCGGCGCTTCTTAGACGAATTCGGCTGCTCCACTGCATCAGTCACACGCTTCTTTCCCGCCCTCTTGTCCTCCGCCTTTTCCTACTTCTTGCCTTCTAAATGCTTACGTGCTGCATCTTTCGCCTTCTTTCCTGCTTGTTGATCATCATTAGCTGGATCTTGACGCTTCTTCGCCGCTGTATTGCGTTTTGAAGTAGCAGCTGCTTCCCTAGCCTCCTTTGCCAACGTCTTGCTAGACTTCTTGCGGGGTGTCTTGCCCGTCGATTTTTTCTTCTCCACGACTTTCGCCTTCGCCACCACTTTCGTCTTGCCCGACGTCTTACCCGTCGTTTTGGTCTTATTCGTCGTCTTCGTCTGGGCTGAATATTTTATAGAGCTCAGCGCCTCAAATTCGTCGTCATCTTCCCACGCACTTCCTTTGTCCTCACCCTCGTCCTTCTCGTCGTCTGGTTCCCAGGGCTCGTCAACTGTTTTTTTTCTTCCGTTGTAGCTTCTTTTTCCCAGACCCAGCCAGCATTTTGGCAGCAACGGCGTGTCGCTGCCGCGATATCAGCTCCTTGTTTCGGCGTAGATTCGCGGCGTCCTTACCCATTGGAGGTGGTTTATACGGCGGTGGTCGTAAGACGGCTAGACGCGCAGACGCAAAGTCTGCGTCGGCAGATCGCTCACCCGCAAAATACGCTCGGTGGTCTCTCAGCAAACGTGCCCTGTCGTCAGCATGCACCGTCTCCAGGCGTTTCATGAAGGCGCTATTCTCCAAGCGTGTTTCACGCCTCGCTGCCATACCTTTGGTCTTCTCCCTGGTCAGCAAAATCTCAACTGGCATCAAAAGGTAGGTGCGATCGCCCCCTCCACACAAATCGGACACAGAACCTGAACTGATCATTGGATTTGTTTGCGTCCTATTTTTCGCGCATGCAACCTAGCCCTGTGCATCAAACGTTTTATGGGGGATGTGCTTTTTCTTGGTTTCTGTATAGTTTGGCTGTTTTTAGAGCCAATCCCTATATTAAAATGTTGTACCTACAACATGTATTCATGTTGTTTTATACAACTTTGGTCGCTGGGGGGTTAAGAAATGATTTAAGTCCAGGAGAGACTTTCATTACTTAAATCAATATAGACAGTTTCAGTATGATATGCCTGTGTGCCTCCACGTTAGACCTGGAAACGCACAGCGAAGTACATTTGCACTTTATGCTTCTTTAGCCGGCATGCTTCCCCATCTCGTTCATATACGCTGATATTGGCGCCAAATAAAGACTAGCAATGACCTTTTTACTGAAGACGACCTGAGTAACATGATACAGTCGTCCACGGGTCATATCAGGTAGGAAAGGTTTTACAGTACATGTACAGCACGCACTTAACGAAATGCAGCAGCACAGTTGCAGTTTTAAAAGTGCGATTATGGCGTAAACCATCGTGGATCATGATTTTTTATGAACTGGCATTATCGTAAACCCACCACCTTTAAATCCAGCAAAGTATGGAGTACATGTATCGTTTTGCCAAAATCGCTGCAAAGCACAATACATTTAATATGAAAAGAGTCTCTACGAAAATTTGATGCAAACACTGGTAATCTTTTGGCATGCTAGAAAGTCAAGATTTACCCTAATTCTAAGATGCTGTTGTTGACGTTAACCTAAAGCCGGGCTAAAATGCTAGTAGGTCGGTACATGTACCACCCGAACTCGATGTGGTGCCGCCACTCCTGCTGGAATTGTTGTTGCTGCTGCGCGAGCCTTCGGGGGGAAGATGGAATTTCTCAACCTTCAGCTTCCGACGATCCCGTTTGATTCCGAAGCGCGTATTGCTCGGTGCATGGCATGCCAGAGCATACACACGCGGCAGTTTACGCAGCGTCAAAGATCCCTGAAACTCCTGCAGTTCACCAGGAAGCAGATCCCGCGTGCCAGCAAATGCGTTCAGCGTCAGCACCGAGTCGCTTAGATGCCGAAGCTCGTTCACAAACGCAGCAGGGAAGGCAATCTGCGCATCACTACTTAGCAGTACCAGGCACACAGCACCCGTCGAGTGGGCGAGCAGTGCCCGTAATTTTCTGAAAAAGCCGAACAGCGCCGTCGTGTGCGCAGCATCAGCAGGACCAAGTAATGACGATCCCAATCCGAGCACTCCGACACGCAGCACTTGGCCTCCTCCATCTTTCCTCTGCAGCTGCACTAGCTCCTGAATCGCCAGGTAAATACGTTCGTACGCATCGCCAACGTCAGTCTCCGTTGTCCAACTCAACGGATCGATTGCAACGGGTTCGTTAGCCGCCACCATCTCCCGGTGCATCATCTTGGACAGGTCGTAGCTGTGGCAGAACCGTTGCTTCCGATTCTGTTGCTTCTGGCGATACTTACCATACTGCCAGGCGATGGTCAGCGATTCATCGTCTTTGTTTTTGTCTGCCAGCTGCTGCTTAACATGACGTTGAGCAAGACTCAGCTCCAGTGGCAGTTGCTCGTTGACAAACGCCGTCGCATCGGGAGCCACCACTGCGACACGTTGCTTGCCATCTACGACGCCCTCAGCCACGAAATAGCGTAGTAGATCAATGGCCAGGGACTCGGAGGTGCCGGAGCTTAAGTCGACATTGGAAGAGCAATCGTCAGAGCCTGGTACAAAAGCCTCCACAACATTTAAAGTACGAAGCAGCAAACCACCGCCTAAAGCTGCGTCTAATTCACTCAGACCTGAGGACACGAGTGTTTGTCCATTGAGGAATGGCTTGGTGCCGCTGCGTAGCGATGACGAGCAGCCGGGCGACTTGCGTCGAAAGCTCATTGGAAGACCAACAATTCGAAGGACAGTGAGCAGAAATATTATGTATGGCCCTATTTCAGTATCAGAGGCTCCCTCCGGTCCGAATGATAATGTGCACTTCAATGTGGTGTTATTCTGTAAACATAAATATATATTTTGTGTTTTCAAAACAATCAAATGCCAGCACTAAATTGAAGTGCACATTTATATTCGGAGCGGAGGAGTACCAAATATCATACTTCGAAGTATGACTTCTTGTGATATTACAGTATCAGTACTATTTTAAATTGGCTACCGGACTCGCAGGGCCGGAGTTCGCAGCTCGTCGTTGACGAAAAGGAATTGACACCGTACTGTGTAATGTGAAGTTGATACTTATAACATAAGAGATGTATTGCAATGCTTGAAACCATATAGATGTATTGCTAGCGATCATTGTTGGAATGTCTTTAATTGGAATGTCTTTAAGGTGGCGTTGCTGAGGTAACCCGGGCAGACTTACAGAATACGGCGTTGATAGCTTTGAAGATTGATCAATAAAGAGTTAAACATGAACATTGAAATAGGTAATGCGAAATAGAATTGCTTGCTGACTGCGATGATTAGCATTGGGTGTGTTGGTCATCACGGCACGTTGATTGTCGAAATTCCCGCTAGCTGACGTTCACTTGGCAACAGTTTCGGTAAATGCTGGCCTTGGTGGGCGAGAATGAGATGACGGCACCTGGAACTGAAAGGTTGGGATCGTTTGATGCTACTTCACAGAGGGAGACGGTAATGGGATACTGGTTTGTCTCAAAGGCATCTTCACGCTGTGCAGCCTGGAATTCCTGCTGCTCTTGGTGAAGCGGCTTTGGTGCTTGCTGCTCGCCGAGATAGAGACGCAAAAAGAGATAATTTCCATTGGTCTCGGGGGCAGACCAGAGAAAGCGCTCCTAAATACAAATGGAGTCGCGAACTTCCTTTTGTGTGACGTCGTTGTGCTTGATAAAATCGCGCAGACCTGTAATTCATATAAAGTGTAATGTAGTTGCATTTTTCGCTCCTCACTGTATGACGTACCATCGACTGTATCGATGATTTTGCGTCGCTAGTGGTGGCTCATTGTCTTCTTCAACTTATTGAGTGGGGACTCGTACCCGACGACCTTAGGCGTGTAGGTAGAGCGGGAAATACGTGTGTGTTTTGTTGCAAGCGGCGAGTCAGAGACGAGCGAGACCGCTGTCGGTGCCGGATCGTTGACACCACTTGGGCTTGTAGCAGCACTAGCGGCGGACTCGTCGCTAGGCGACTTAGTTTGTTTCTTCGCAGGCATCAGCCAAAACGGAAATGGATCGACACACGCGCTTCTTGTTGGTTGGGCGAAAAGAGATCATGGGAAAGTGAAGATCAGTTAGTGGCGCACAGACAGGATGGTCGTAAACTGCGATAGGTTTCGCGGGACTAGGTATTGCCATGGTCCACCGCGGACGTCTTCTACAGGTAGCTAGCTAGGTAGACTGATGTGGTTTGAGCTCTTTGAAGCTACGCACTTCTTGCCACTCGTAGCTTCCAATTATAAACCAGAACAAACTATGCCATTTTCTGTGCTAAAGATATATTTTGGAGAATCGTTGTGCTCTATGGTAGATTCAAAATTGATTCTTTCAAATGTTGTGCTAAGTACGAATTCGAATTAGACGATTATTTTCTAGAATTTAAACGACCAGGGATGTTCGATAGAAGAGAGAGAGGCTGTTGTTGGTCGTCCGAAAGGAGAACCGACTTGGTGGTGAAAAGGATAGACTATACATTTATAGTGTCCGCGCGTCTTTGAACATAGCAGATGCCTGGAGGAAATAGCACGAATGCTACTACGACAAATGTAATTGGTACCGTTGAACATGCCTTTGCATCCGTTCGCCTGGTAGAGGCCAATGTTTGTGCAGGTGGTGCGTGGCTAACAGATTCGAAGGTGAGTGAACTGGTTGATTAGTGAAGTCGGTGATAGTGCTAGTGATCCGACTGATTGACGCCTTATGTGTGCATTCGTGTGTGTTTACAGGACGATGTCCAGGTGTGCCGATGTGAAGCTGAAGATCACTGTGGTGAACGCTGTATCAATCGCGCGGTGCGTTGTATCGCTTCCGATTGTATATGTGGTGCATTTGCACTGGTAACAGACGATTGACATCGTTATACGATATTTGATGCGGTGTGAATGTCAGCTGGAGTGCTGTCCGTGTAGAGATCGGTGCTCGAACCGCCAGATACAAGTAGGTTCGACACTTATGACAGCTGTCATTCACTGTGGACGCAAAGGTGTCGGCGTAATTGCGCTGGAAGACGTTGATGTGGGACGTTTAGTCGGTGAATACGTAGGGGAAGTGTTGACAAGGAGCGAGGTTGCGTTCCCAGGTATACGGCGATTGTAGTCTGAATGATACATGAGAATGACGTGCTAACTGCGTACCCGTGCAGATCTACGGAACTAATACGCATTTCTACTGGGAAACGATCGAGTAATTGATGCCACACGTATCGGCGGACGAATGCGGCTTCTAAACCACTCGTGTGAACCGAATTGCGGCTTTGAGAAGTGGAACGTCTGTGGCGAAGAGCGCTACGGACTGTTATGTATTCGCCACGTTCAGGCTAGCAACGAACTTACTGTCCAGTATGGTCTCCGTTACATACATAGTGCGGTCAGGTAGAGCTGTATTGATATGGATTTGTGTGTGTATTTGACGTTGCCGCTATGTCTGTTAGCGTCTATAGCTTGTGAGTAAATGTTTTTGCCGCACTCCTAGTTGCAGTGGTGTTATTGGCGCTCAGCGGGAGAGCACGGAAGTGAACACGATACCAGTGACAAAGCGTAAGATGGTTTAGCTGACGATGGATCACTGTTTAGTGAAGCCCTAGCTACAATCGTCAAAGCATGCGTGTACAGTACATCTGAGTCATTATAAGTTGTACTACTGTAGTCCTTCATTTTGTATGGTCAATCTTGTTTGAATTAAAAAAAACCTTCATAGCAGAAACAAAGGCAACCCATTCTTCGTCTCGATGTGCGCGACGATCGTGCTGAAAGATAAAGAGACGGGTGCGCATTATTTTTTGTTCCTCAAGTCTTCCGCGTTGCTGTTTTCTTGTTGTCCAGCCTCTGTTAGTCCTATACGTATCGCGTTGGCTGACTTCTTGTACGGCTCGACAATATTCTCTTTCACCTCCATACGCGTGACAATTGCGCTGGGAAATGATCAACGGCAACCTCTGCCACCCCAAGCGAGTGACGATTGAATTGACGATAGTCGAGCTTGCGCTTTCGTGAATCACTGCTCCTTCATTGGTGTGATGATTTCATGCTCATCAAATTGCTATGATCATTAGTCTTGAAAAAAACGTGAGCGTAACCGGCTGGCGGTTCGACGACGGCGCGCTCGTGAAACGCCAGATGCTAGATCTGAACGGCTGCGCCGTGATCGGGAACGGTATCAGCGTAGGTCGGGTTCTGTTGTTTCTGAAAAGCATTCTTTCGACCACGTCATGCTCTATTAACATACATCCGACACACAGCACAGTTTGTCGTATACTCCTCTTCCTCAAGGGTCGAGTAGTCCGCGGCTGTTCAGAGAGTACGGTCTTGTTCAGTGGCTGCAGAAACGGTAGATAGGACACTAGAGAGTTGAAAATAAAAGTTTGTCGATTGGCTTGGCTTCCTCTTGAGTATAATCAGGGAAATATAAGACTGAGAGCTAACCGGAAGAGAGGCCTAACACCTTCTCGACCTTACATACACTACACTACATATTAGAAAAAAGGAAGGATTCACTTCGTTTGTTGTCGGCCTTCGTGGGACAACGGAGAGCTTCTGGGAAGGGGCTTGATGTCGCGAGGTGCTTTTGGTCCCATGACGCCAAGACACCGGCGTTCTGGGGCCCCCTTATAGGCCACCCTAACGGGCTCGGTCAGGGGCACGTGCGTGGTTGAGTTCAACGGGAACCACCCTGACGGGACGGCGGGGCGAGGAGTGATTCCAGGGTTTCGAGTCATCCCGACGGGAGGCAGAGCTCCTGGAATGACCCCTTCGTTCCCGGGTACGGGACGTCCTCCCCGACTTGTCGTTCGTCGTCCTCGTCGAACAGAGATCCTCTGCGTACATCTCTCACGTTAGTCCTATGGACTCCGTCGTTAGTAACTTCTTCAGACAGGAGAGGTTGGAACTCGTCGGGGTAGTCCTCGGAGCGGTCCTCAACGTAGTCAGGGTCGGCGGCTTGAAAGTCATATAGCACTTCGACATCGTCGTCGACCCGCAGACGTTCGATGTTCCGAGCTTCGGCCATACTACGTTGGGAAGCGTTTCGGCGGGTACTCGTCAATGCTAGTTCGACCAGCACCTTAGGGGAGACAGTTCTGATGGGGCTTCCCTCGTCGTATTGACGACAAGCGTGAGATACCACACCGGCGACCACCACGACAAGAGTGTCGGCGAGACTCCAGCCGGTCCACTCGAGGCAGTAGTTGGTAGCTAGTAGGAGCAATAGTACAGTCCCCACACCCACTGGTCCCAGGAGTACGAACTCCACCAGATCAAAGGCGTAGACCGGGATGTACAGCAGTAGAGACAGGCATAGTAGTACTAGCCAGCAGGTGGCTTCTCCCTCCGCGTACAGGCGCATCCAGGTGGCCTTGAGAGCGTCTCAGAAAGCGTACCAATAGCGTATGCCCGAGTCTCTTGTACGGAGGAGGACTTCTGGGATGTAGTCGGAGAATGTCACCTTGCTGGCGATCCACCAACTCCGCAGCATCCGTCCATAACGA